AAAAAAAAAAACAACTATCTGCCCACATGTAAAGTATCCAAGGTCATTTCCCATCTCCTCCCAGGTAGTTTATGCTCAGACTAAAAATAAATTTTTAAAAACTACTTAAATGAAATATTTTAAAAAGAAAAGGTTATAAAAAAATGGAGGAAGAGAACTGCATTTTCTGAAGTTTTCCTGTAAAATTACTTATATGCTATTAAAGATTTTTTTAACATACTCAAGATAGATCTATATGTGCTCTGTGGAGAAAATCAAAATACACTTACAATATATGCATTGTATACTGTATATATTACATGACGAGTCTAATTCTCTGAGAAAACTGATAATCCAAAGGAGACAGTGTCCTCTGCACGAGGACAATGAGTCAGTTGTTTTTCTACTATTAGACATGGTCATGATGAGTCTGAATCTTTTGTTCACAGATGAGAAGGAAGGCTTTATCTTAGAGCTAAAAACTAAGTCACCTGTGACTCAGAACCGAAGCCATGGTGACTCTGATACAACTTTTATTTTAAACACTATAGTTAAAGTGAATATTAAGGTCACTAACAGCCCTTGGTTCTATAGTCTCCAAAGTAGCAAGAAAACACAGAACGTAAATAGCACTTAGAACCAAAGAGTTGGAAGAGATTTTACACTTAACCTAATATCCACATTTCACAGATGGCAAAACAGATTCCAGACTGACTTAATGCCTCACAACTAGTAGCAATGAAAAACTTACATAGAGTGGAATTTTTTTTTTCCCATTCAGGACAAACAACATTAAAAATATTTTTACATTCTCAAGTTGAGAAAATAAAAAGAAAAATGATATATACAGACTAGCATAGAAATAAAAACATTCATAAAAATGAAAGTATTTTAAAACATGTCAGAACGTGGTATACTGTATTATGATCCACTTATAGTGTATCAAAATTAGACAATTTTGAATATCCCTACATAACAACTGAACTTATTATTATTTTTTTTTTGAGACAGAGTCTCACCCTGTCACCCTCAGTAGAGTGCCATGGTGTCCATAACCCCTGGGCCCAATGATCCGGATTCACCTCAGTCTCCCAAGTAGCTAGGACTACAGGTGCCCTCCACAATAGCTATTTTTAGAGATGGGGTCTTGCTCTTACTCAGGCACCTCTTAAACTCCTCAGCTTAAGCAATACACCCTGCCGCGGCTTCCCAGTGTGCCAGATTACAGGAGTGAGCCACCACGCCAGGCCCAATCAAATTTTTAGTGCAATCTAAAATTAGGGGACACATTTCATGCAAAGATTTTTTTTTTATTCTTTAGAAAGAGAATGAAAGTGTTTGACTAAAACTACTAACTTCAAAATCTGCATTTTTCTAATAAGCTAGTTTTCTTTTTTGAGACAGAGTCTCACTATGTTGCCCTCGGTAGAGTGCTATGGCATCACAGCTCACAGCAACCTCCAACTCTTGGGCTTAAGTGATTCTCTTGCCTCAGCCTCCCAAGCAGCTGGGACTACAGCTGCCTGCCACAATGCCTGGCTTTTTTTTTTTTGGTTGTAGTTGTCATTGTTGTTTGGCAGGTCTGGGCCAGTGTATGTAGCTGGAGCCAAGCTAGTTTCTTTCCAACGTAAGACATAAGAATAGGTGCTCAGGCTCAGCACCTGTGGCTCAAGTGGCTAAGACTAGCCAAGTACAACCAAGGTGGCGGGTTAAATCCAGCCCAGGCCCGCCAAACAACAATGACGGCTGCAACCAAAAAATAGCCGAGTATTGTGGCGGGCGCCTGTAGTCCCAGCTACTTGGGAAGTGGAGGCAGGAGACTCGCTTGAGCCCAGGAGTTGGAGGTTGCTGTGAGCTGTGATGCCACAGCTTGAGGCTCTGTCTCAAAAAAAAAAAAAAGAATAGGTGCTCAATAAATGCATTTTTTAAAAAAGCCTATCAATGTTTTTGTTTTGGCCAGGGCTGGGTTTGAACCTACCACCTCTGGCATATGGGGCTGGCACCCTACGTAGTCCTTTCAGCCAAGGCACCACCCTAAAAGTCTATCAATTTTGAACTTTCTTTCAGGAAATCAGTTGTTGGTAAAATGAAAATTGGAGAAGCAGGAAATTATATTTCATTAACAATCCTTTTTGTTGTTGTTGTTGTTGAGACCGAGTCTTACTTTGTTGCCCTCAATAGAGTGCCATGGTGTCATAGCTCACAGCAACCTCAAACTCTTGGGCTTAAGCCAATTCTCTTGCCTCAGTTCCCCCAAGTAGCTGGGAGCACTGGTGCCCACCATAACACCCAGCTATTTTTTAGAATCAGGGTCTTGCTTTGTCTCAGGCTGGTCTCAAACTTGTGAACTCAGGCAATCCACCCACCTCAATCTTCCTGTAATCTGAAGTGTTGGGATTACAAGTGTGAACCACTGCACCCAGCCTTAAAACTCCTTTAATGCAGTGTTCTCAGAGCGCGGCCACCAGACCAGCAACTTCCATATCACCAGGAAACTTGACAGAAATGCAAATTCTCAGATCCCCTCTGAGACCCACAGACTCAAGAAGTCTGAGCTGGGAGGAAGAAACTGTTATTTTCTTAGGCTCTCCACTGCAAACCAAAGTTTGAGAACTACTACATTAAGGAATAGTTCTCAAACTTTTCAGTCTGCAGATCTTTAGCAACTGAAGGAACCAAAGTGCTTCTGTTCATAGGTTACAATTATCTACATTTACCATTTTAAAAACAAATTAACAAACCAAAAAAACCTGAAACATTTAAACAATGCTACGACATTTTAAAACAACAATAATAGGTCAGGCACAGTGGTTTAAGCCTATGACCCTAGCACTCTGGGAGGCTAAGGCAGGAGGACTGCTTGAGGCCAGGAGTTTGAGATCAGCTGGAGCGACATAACAAGACCTCAGATGTACAAAAAATTTAGAAATTAGCTGAGTGTCATGATACATGGCTATAGTTCTAGCTATTCAAGAGGCTGAGACAGGAGAACTGAGCCCCAGGAGTTGGAGGTTACAATGAGCTATGATGGAACCACTGCACTCCCACCTAGGTGATGGAGCACACAAATAACATAACCACATCTTTAACTTGCAAAGATCCTTCAACAGTCATATTTAAAGCATGGATGATTTCATGACCCATTATTTAGGTCCAAATAACAGATATTCTTCAAGATCGAGTTCTTCTCACCGATTCTGAAAGGACTTCCCAGCAACATTGTCTCTATAGGAATCAAATAAAACATGATATTGGTCTCGGCTCCATTCCAGAACCACCTAGAAGAAAGAAAAAGAAACAATGTTATCTCTGTGTCAAAAACTAAGAGTGTCTCTATGAACACATGTCCTAGAAAAAGCCAACACAACTAAACATATGTAACTTTCCTTTCATTTTAATGTCATTAGGAACTGCTGGAGGGATAGGTAAAGCAATCAAAATCCATTCCTTCACTTGCTGTCCACCACATACCAGACGCGGTGCTACGTCATGATGACCAAGCTACAGTCTCTGACCTGGACAGCCTAAACATTTAGTGTCTCGGGCGGCGCCTGTGGCTCAAAGGAGTAGGGCACCAGCCCTATATGCCGGAGGTGGTGGGTTCAAACCCAGCCGCGGCCAAAAACTGTAAAAACAACAACAACAACAACAAAATATATATCTTCATTTACAAAATATTCCTTACACAATTTTATAAATATTTATAAAATTGTCTCTGCATGTTGGCCACCTCTTTGTAAAATTAAGAAAATCAGCTGTAGCTCAGTGGCCAGGGCACCAGCCACATACAAGGGAGCTGGCAGGTTCGAATCCAGCCCGGGAAAACAATGACATCGGCTACCAAAAAATAGCTGGCATTGTGGCGGCCACCTGTAGTCCCAGCTACTTGGGAGGCTGAGGTGAGAGAATCTCTTAAGCCCAAGACCTTGAGGTTGCTGTGAGCTATGATGCCATGGCATTCTACCCAGGGCAACAAAGTGAGACTCTGTCTCAAAAAAAATAAAATAAAATAAAACGAAATAAAATAAAATCAAGAAAATCCTTGAGGGCAAATGGTATCTGCCTAAACAGGTTTTTAATGCACACATAATTTAATTCTGAGAGGAGAAAAAGATCAACAAGGACACTTACTAGGTATGGAAGAGAAGCAAGCCTCAGGATTTAAGGCAAGAAATAACAGGTTAACACTCCTGTTTTGCTACTAATCATCAAGCCTTGAAGGGACAAGATAAACACCAGCTGCTGTGCTAGTCTTTTGGTTGTGTAAGTAGGTCTGGACAGGAAGAACCCTTTATCTGACAAGATCTGGAGCATTCCGGGTGGTGTGGCCATAGATAAGAACCCTTTATCTAGATTGGTTCCACGGATTTTTTTTTTTTTTTTTTTTGAGACAGAGTCTCACTATGTTACCCTCAGTAGAGTGCTATGGTGTCATACCTCCCAGCAACCTCACACTCTTGCCTCAGCCTCCCAAGTAGCTGTGACTAAAGGCGCCCACCAAAACACCCGGCTATTTTTTGGCTGTCGTTGTCATTGTTATTTGGCAGGCCCGGGCTGGATTCAAACCCGCCAGCTCTGGTGTATGTGGCTGGCGCCCTAGCCACTGAGCAACAAGTGCCAAGCCATCTCATACACGTTTTTAAATCAATGGATTAGAGGACAGCAAAAAAAGTGTTTGGATGGCCATCTTGAGGATCTTTTGAGTTCCCCAAACTTGTCTTTCTTAGAACAAAATTAGAAGACTGTGGTCCTAAAATTAAATAATCTGAGTGAAAGGCATACTTTAACTGGCACCTTAAAGCTGCTAAATGCATTCAGGAGCCTAAAAATCTTGAGATAAACAGTTAAGAAAGTACAAGGCCTTAAGGACCTGAAAGTCTTTCCTCTGTGGAAGAGATGTCCCTTCTCTTCTATCTGTCTGTTCCTCCTCTCTATCCTTCTTTGGCCTGCTAAAACCTTCCCCTTGAAAGTTAAACCCACCAAAGAGCCCTCTAAACCCCTTATTTCTTTTTTTTTTTTCTTGGAGCAAGGCTGATCTCTGAGCCTAAGGTCACTGAGGACCCTCACCAGATTTGCTGACGAATGCAACACAGTCAGGCTTATTAGCCAGATGTTTCTAACCAATACTAGTAGGTTCACTGGTGAAGGTCAGGTACAACACTGACAGCCAAGGCATACTGGTGTGATTCTGAGGGAAATTTAGGCAAAACACTCCCAAAGACTGTGGTAGAGCCTGAGGCACAGGGGAAAAAAATCCCTGTAGGCCTGCACCCAAGAACCTAATAAGCCAATTTACAACTATCACTGGCCCAGCTCGTAGTGAAAGAAAATGCTGGATGACCTATGAATGCCGAACCTACTCAAGTAACTTTTAATTCTGTCTGTGAACGGTCTCTGCTGAGAACTTCCAGCTTGTCAAAAAGAGTCTGCGTGGACTGGGAAACTATGTGCACTCCTGATGTAGTTAAGCTGGCAAATCGGCTTGCCAGTACTCTTGAGATCACTTCTACAAAGAAAACCACGGGCAGTGCCTGTGGCTCAGTGGGTAGGGCGCCAGTCCCTATACCAAAGGTGGAAGGTTTGAACCTGGCCCTGGCCAAACTACAACAAACAATGGCCAGGCTTTGTGGCAGGCACCTGTAGTCCCAGCTACTTGGGAGGCTGAGGCAAGAGAATCGCCTAAACCCAGGAGTTGGGGGTTGCTGTGAGCT